CAACAAACCACCCCCCAACACCCTCATACCCCACCCCAATACCCCCTACACCACCCCTTTACCCACCTATACCCTCCTATATTACCACTATACCTCTCTATACTCCCACTATACCCCCTTCCATAACCCCCACATAGCCTCCCCAATCCCCAAAAGTTTCTCAGCAGATTTGAGCTGTACTCAGCAAGCGCACTACAGCCCCATAGTCAGATTTGAAAAAGAAATCAGGGGATGCTTGTTTACTGACTGGTCGGCAAACCGGCATACCGGTAGGCTGCAAAACAGTCGGCGGTCGGGGTAGGCGGTCGGCGGGTATGCAACGCTGGGTAGTTGTCGTCGTGGCGGTAGTACTAGTACTGTAGCAGTAGTAGTAGTCGTAATAGTAGTCGTAATAGTAATCATAGTAGTCGTAGTCGTAGTCGTAGTCGTAGTCGTAGTAGTAGTAGTAGTAGTAGTAGTAGCAGTAGCAGTAGTAGGTAATGGAACAGTAGCAGTGGTAGCAGTAGAGACTCTACGTAGCGAAGTCGTAGTGATAGTCGTCTATGATGCTACAGTAGCAACGTCAGCAGCACTAGCAGCAAAAGCAGCAGCACTAGTAGCGACAGCAGCAGCACTAGCGGCAAAACTAGCAGCACAAGCAGCAACAGCAGCAGGAGAAGGAGCAGTGGCAGCAGTACGAGAAGCCGTTGTAGTAGTTGCCGTGGCAGCTACAGTACTAGTGGTCATGGCTGTGGTATCTATAGTATTCGTGGCGGTGCGGCTCATATTGATGGCACAACAAATGAAAAAAGGGAAGACGAAAAAGCAGCAGCAGCAGCAGAAGCAGCAGGAGGAGCCGGAGGAGGAGCAGGAGGCGGATGACGAGGAGGTGGAGGATGAGCAGGAGGAAGAGGAGGGAGGAGGAGAAAGGAGGAGGGAGGAGAAGGAAGGAGGAGGGAGGACATACTCACCTTGATGAACTCGATAGGATGATCAGCAGTTGTGGATGGCGGTCGCAAATCTGCCCACACCTCATTCAATGATCTGTTGCAAGTTAGCTTCATCATCGGCCAATAGGAGGTTATCACCTGTGCAGAAATCTGATCCAGGTAATTTTTCCACAATGACTGGGCTTCACCCACATTCCCATTTCCCGCTTTCTCCCAGATGCCCTGAAAGCGTCGTTTGACATGTTGGAGGAGGGTGAACGCTGCCGGAACCTTTTCACATGTCATCCATGCCACCAACCCCACCATTTTCCGAACCGTTACCTCTGATATCTGCAATTGCCAGTCCATGATCCATCACAATTAAACTGCAGTTAAGTTGATGAGCTAGCGAAGGCTACAGGCATTCAAAGCAAGGCAACCTGCATCGCAATTAAACTGCAGTTAAATTGTAGTAAACGAAGGCTAAAGGTTTGTCCTTCACGACATCCGTGAAAATTGGAATGATACAGAGAAGATGAGCATGGCCCCTGCACAAGGATGACATGCATAAATCGAGAAATGGTCCAAAGACTCCAGACTAAAAAAAAAGAAAAAGAAAAGAAGGCTGCAGACATTGAAACCAAGGCAGTCAGCATCACAATTAAACTGCAGTTAATTTGGAGTTACTGTAGTTAAGTTAGAGGCATTGAAACCAAGGCGAAGTGTAAGTGAGCTTGCTCGGCTTATGGCGACATCGCTCTGAGAGGGGTAAAATGCTGCAGGCATTGAAACCAAGGCAATCAGCATCACAATTAAGCTGCAGTTAAGTTGGAGTTACTGAAGGTTGGAGGCATTGAAACCAAGGCGAAGCGTAAGTGAGCTTGCTCAGTTTACGGCTACATCCCTCTGAGAGGGGTAAAATGCAAAGATGGAAGGACGAAGGGCATTCCGGTCTACCCATGGCTTTTTGGGGAGATTGACGATCGCCACCATCTTTCGAGGGGCGAATAGCAAACTTCGAATTTTGAATTTTCACTATTTACTTATTGAGTTAAATACATCCTTTTGCAATCAGACTCGTTCTCAAACACACTTTTCATGCATGTAAACAGCAACGCAGCATACTGGCGACATGCGCCCACTCAAAACTCAGAGATATGGCTTTCAGATACGAGTTCACTCTCAATTGGCTATGGCGACTTCAGCGCCCAAACATCTCACTGTTCACATACACTGGATCACCCTGGATATCCCACACGCATCACTCTAACACTCGAGCACACACAC